CGGGCTGCTAGACCAGGGCCCCTGCCACGCTGCAGCCCCAGCCTTTCCCTGGGGCCAGGCAGTGGGGGCAGTTTTGGGGAGGCAACGCCTTCCCTTGCCTACCTTACCCGCCGCCCGGGCTGCTATCACTGTGGTGGTGCCTGGAGCCCTGGGCCCTTTAAATCACCATTGGGGCACCAACAATGCGCTCCAGGGCAGAGTGAGGGCTGGCAGGTGGACCTACCGTGATCTGGGGCTCTGGCTCCGCCCCTTCTGTCTAAGGCCCTGCCCCTTTCAGGAGCGTGGGGACTCTCTCCCCTTTTCCCAGGGGCCCACATGAAGCTGCCGGCTCCCCTGGATCTGGGATTACAATGCAGCAGACACACCCAGAGACACTAAGTGACTTGCCCTAGGTCACACAGGAGGTCTGTGGCAGAGCTGGGAGTGGCGCCCGTCTGCCCAATGCTTGGGCCTGCACCCAACCACTGTCCACTCCTCCCTCTTAAGCACTGCCCAGGGATTCGCTCTGATTCCTGCCACGTGTGTAGACAGACCACCCCGCGAATGAGCCCTGATTTGTGCCATGAGCTCGCCTGGCTTCAAGCAGGGGTTTGTCCCGTCGTTGTTCCACTCGAATCCGGCTTCCCATTCCAGGGCTGCCCTCGAGAAGAGCGGCGCGTGTGGAGCACTGAGCTTTTTTGGCTCTCCAGACTTCAGCCTCATAACAGCTGCTGTTGGGTACCTGCAAGTCATTCGGTGCCCGCAGGGGAGGTGGGACCCAGGTGTGGGTGCCACACACAGGGAGATCCGGGGCCCTAAGAAATTCTGGTCAATTGCAGTTGAATCCGTCTACACATGGCTGCAATCAGGGAAAATTCCCAATGCAGTCAAGGCCTAAAAGGAGACTCAGGCAGCCCTTAATTTCCAGCTCCGATCACTAGGCAGTGCTTTCCGCCAGCTAATTCAAAGCACATGGTCCTGCTGGCTCTCCCTTGTCCCAGCCTTGCCCTCCAGCCTGTTGCTGCCCAACCCCGAGAGATGTCGGGGAGAGATGATCCCTGCCACTCCCTGACCCAGGCAGCTCCCGGGCCGCACCGAGGCTGCTACTCATAATAGGATCCTTTGCCTTCCCGGCTCCTCGTGACGGCAGGGTTGTGGTCGGGTGACCTTGGCAGGGGCGGGGGAGGCTTTTTTGCAATCCGAACACACGCGGCCGGGCCGCGCCGAGGTGCCGGAGCGCTGAGTGATTGGTATGCTCCGAGCACGTCACCTCTTTTCAGAGGGGAGAGAGGCTGCTGGAAAGTCATTTTTCAGGGTTTGACACAAAGTCTCTTTCGCTCGCTCGCAAAGCCAGATAACCATCAGCAGCCGGAGCGATTAGGAAAATATATACATGGCGAGGGGAAGGGGGAGGAGGGAAAAGGCTCCGCAGTGGCGCCCTGGCAGCACTTACGGCGCACGCAGACCTTTCGCGGACTGCGCCGGCGGTTCCATTTGCTCAAGAGTAATTGAAGGACGAAGCTGAGTGAAGTCTTTAGGCCCTGATGCTGATGGGGCCAGGCCTTGGCCGAGCTGCCTGAAATCGCTGCACCACATCTCAGTCTTCCCCTGCATTTGAGAGCTAGATCCTGTTTGCAACCTAGAGCAGGAAATTCTGGGCCCCTGAGACTAGAGAGGAGGCTGAAAGCACTTGCTGCAGGACTCTTTGGCTGTGTCCGCAACAGTCATCATGCAAGTCTAGACTCCGTTATTGGACACCGACCTCCTTGTTCTAGAATTTACTCCAGACACCCACATCTGACCCCTCTAATTCTGTATCTTAATCTAGACCATGAGATCCTGGTTCCTTTATCCTAGACTTTATTCTAGACTTTTCCTCGTACAGCGCACAGTCAACCTGTGGAACTCCTTGCCAGAGGATGTTGTGAAGACCAGGACTTTAACAGGGTTAAGAAAAGAAGTAGGTAAATTTATGGAGGTTGGGTCCATCAATACTTATTAGCCAAGATGGGTAGGAATAGTGTCCCTCGCTTGTTTGTCAGAGGCTGGAAATGGGTGACAGGAGAGGGATCACGTGAGGATTTCCTGTTCTGTTCACTCCCTCTGGGGCATCTGGCATTGGCCACTGTTGGAAGACAGGATACTGGGCTGGATGGACCTTTGGTCTGAGCCAATATGGCCGTTCTTATGTTCTAACTCTTAAATCTGAATTCCTTCATTCTAGATGGTTCTTGTCTGGATACCTTATTCTAGATGTTTGTGCTAGAGTACAAGCCCTAGGCTCTTTTACTAGACCCCTTGGTTGTGTCACTCTGTCTTAGTGGATGGCTTGGCAGGGTTGCTCCAGCGAGTCTTTTCAGCCCTAATTACGCTGCTGCTCAAAAGAGATTCTCCGTTTGCATTCGAAGATCCCAAGCTCTATTCATGCTTATGACTCAGAAGTCCTGGGTGGGTCCATGCACGGAGCCTGCTCTGGTACCTTAGCTCTAGTACATGGCTCTGGTACCTTAGCACACACAACCCCGCGAGCAGAGGCACAACACATCTGGGAGGAGATGCAGATCTTGTCACTTACAAGGACATTTTGTCCAGTTACTTGATGCTTTCCAATGCAGATGCACGCTAAGTCACCAGGAACTCACTTCTAAGCACACACCCACACCAAAGCCCCTCGATCTGCTCCTCCCTTCTTTGACCCTCACCACCAACAGGTCAATCCACGTGTCACAGAAACATGAGCAAGTCTTCTGCAAGAACCTAGTCCGTTTAGGCTTGCCAGATGATCCAAAAATCTCAAACATGGCAGGAAAAAAACTAGGTTGAGCAAAACAGAAAAAAAAACCCCAATGAGACGAAAGTTATTAAGCAAAAAAACAAACAAACAAAAACACCAAACAGGAGAACAACAAAAGCAAAAAAACCCACCACCAACAAAAAAAACCCCCACCAAACGGGAGAACAACAAAAAGACGCTGCACCTTTAAGAATCCCCGTGCACCTCGCTTCCCCCAACCCGTGCCAGATGCAGCAAGGGAACAATGTCCCTACTGGCCTTACATCCAAGAAAAACAGAAAATACCGGACATTTCCTGGTATTTTCTAGTTTTTTTTTACCGGACAGGGGTCAGAAATAATGGACTGTCCGGGCAAAAACCGGACACCTGGCAACCCCAAGTCCTTTAGAGACAGGGCCGGATGAACCGTTTGTCAGCCCCAGTGCCCAGAGCGCGGCCCCACCTGCTCCATCACCCCGCTTTGCCCCAGGGCCCTGCCCATCACTCACAGAGGGAGAAGGGGTGGGGAGGACCAAGCAGTGAGCGGAGCCTCGGGAGGGAAAGGCGGAGTGGTGTGTCTGAGCGGGGGGCGGGGTCATGGCCCGGATGATGGGCATGGTGTCATTGTGAACCTGGTACTGCTTCAAGTTCAGCACGGCAGGTATCCATCCCCACCAAGCCCGGCTGTCTGGGCTTATGGGGGAGGGAGGCTTTTAGCTGGAAAGCTGCTTGGGAAGGAGAGGAAGAAAGCAGGTCTGCAGAAGCCACTGCCACCACCTTCACAAACTTACAAAGAGGCGACCTCGTGTGCCCGGAACCTGGGCAGCACCCACTGGGAACGTGAGCAAAGAGCAGTGGCGAGCTGCCCGCTTCTAGCAGGCACCAGGCAAGCAGATGGCTGGCTCAAAAGGAAACCAGAGCAAAAGGAAGAGAGGAAAGGAGAGCGAGCCAGAGAGAGAGGAGAGAGAAACAGATGCACCATTCACAAAGGAGCCTGCCCAAAAATGCTAAAGGGGGAGGAAGCCAGACAAATAAAAACACAAATCCTGATGGATCCTCCCAAAAACCTGCTCGCTTTTGATGTGGTTGACACAGATTCCCCCTAGAAACTGCTCAGCAGGATGCATTTTCCCCTTGGCCGCTAGTTACTTCTCATCATCAGATGCTTACTGTCCTTTCTAAGCTTTGTTTTTGGTTCACACACGGTCCCGCGCCCCTCCTGCTTTCTTCTTCGGGGAGCAACACACCAGGAGGCATGTGCAAACCTGTGGCTGGCAGAAGCCACACAGCCTGAGTTGCCCTGTAACACTGCAGGCTTTCACTAATTAGGCTCTTTAATGGTGCCTGTGTCATCTGTGCCGCTGCAGGCAAAGGCCAGTGGATCTAAAAGCACTCCCACCTCCTGCCTGGCCTCCTAAGGGCAAACGTGCCACCTGATGAACAGACACCCAAGCTCCCTAGGCAGCGCATAGACTCTCACTGGAATAATGTAGAGAGGAGATTAGCACAGCCCCCGTGTGAGGATGACACGGAAATTCCTGAAGCTCAATGCAGCATGCAAGAGGCTCTTTCGAGGCAGTTTGGCACAAAGGATACCTGGGGAGAGTGAGTTGCAAACATCTCTGGGAAGACCCAGAGGTTGAGTTTGAAATACGCTACAATTGTCTGATACTCTGACTGCAGAGTTACCACCAGCCTGAAGCATTCAGCAAATCACCAATCAGCCCCTCCTCCTCCAAACGAGATTCATGAAGAAAGAATTTGGTTGGGGGGGGGGGTTAGATGCCTTCTGGATATTGAACATGAAGGGGGTCACATTTTCCAGCTTTTGTTGGCAACTACAATGGCTAGATTAGTGGTCTCCAACATTTTTGCATCCAAGGTAACTTTGCAAATTTCAGTGCAACCCAGGATCTACCTACCTGCCCCTTCACCAAGGTCCTGCCCCTTCACCATGGCCCCGCTCACTCCATTCCCCCTCTCTCCATCACTTGCTTTCTCCCACCCTCACTCCCTGTTACTGGGCTGTGGCAGGGGGTGCGGGCTTCAGGCTGGGGCCAAGGGGTGTGGGAGCAGGAAGGTATGAGGGTGCAAGCTCTGGGAAGGAATTTGGGTGTGGGAGAAGGCTCCAGGCTGGGGAGGAGAGTTAGGGTGCAGGAGGGGGTGCCAGCTCTGGGATGGGGTGCCAGATTGGGGCACAGTTTTGGGGGTGCAGATGGGGATGTGGGGTGCTGGCTCTGAGAGGGAGGTCAGGGGTAGGACGGGGTGTAGGAGGGAATGCAAGGTGCAGGCTCCGGCTGTGAGCAGGCACTTATCACAGGCAGCTCCCAGCTGGAAGTACAGCGGGGCTCAGACAGGCTGCCTACCTGCCATGGCTCCCTGCTACTTCCAGAAGCAGCCAGCTGCAGGCTTGTCTCTGTGCTCCCCCACCCCGGCCAGCTCTGTCCTCTGAGCTCCCATTGGTCGGGAGTCAGCCAATGGGAGCTGCAGGTGCGGGCAGCTTGCAGAAACACACTGCCCCCCTCCTCCCAAGGGCAGTACAGAGTCTAACTTGCTGCCAGTAGCCAGCCTGTCCAAACCCTGCTGCACTGGCCTGGAGATCCCAATCAACTGGCTGAGGTCCCAGGATCAACCAATCCATCGGGATCGATAGGTGGCAGCTCCTGGGCTAGAAACTTAGGCCTAGCTTCTCAAACGCCAACTGAAATCAACAGGAGGTGGGGGGCTAAACCCCTTTGAGGATCTGGACTTTATACTTTTTTTTTCCAATGAAAGCTGAGAGACTTGATGATCTCTCAGGGTCCCTTCCAGTCCTAGTATTCTCTGAGTCTCATGCAATCCCATGATTCCAAGAGCTGGAGCTTTAAGAACACTTAATATCTGCCAGCCCATGTCATTTGGGGTGACACAACACTTGGACTGGCACCGTTAGGAGAGAGACAGCAGAAGTTTTAAGTTGCCCCTTGGATGATCTTTCGTTGGACCCAGTTTCTTCTTCAGTTTTTTCCCAAGCATCCTCCTCGGCCCTGCCCCTCATTACAGGAAAGGGAGTTGGCCTCCAAAGCAATCTTGCCCTTGTTATTTTATGCAACCTTCTCTGACATCACTGCACCTAATAAAGAGAATTAAATGTTCGTCTTCTGCCCCAGCAGCGCAAGCATTCTCGGGGGGTGGAGGGGTGTCCTCACACAGCCCCCAACTGCATCAGCATGGGATGCATACAGGCAATGGACTCTGAACTCCTCTGGCACACAGCCCCAGGGACAGAGGGTGTGGCTTGGGAAAGCTATCGCTGGAGTTCCCCTGGGAAAGGATTAGCCCCAGCTGCCAGGATGACCAGTCAGAAGAACACGTAGTTTTGGTTTTTTCGTTGCTTGTGATTTCTCTAAACCAGGGCTAAATCCCCCAGGCTGAAAAGGTTTGTTTTGCAATGCACGGGTGCATGTACACAGCAGTGCCCCAAAAGGGTCATCTGTGCCTTTCATACCTGACACAATTCACCTTTGGAACTCATTGCTGCAAGTTATGACTTAGTAAGTTTCAAGGATGGTTCGGGCATTTACATGGACAATGAGCACAAGCAGAGCACATCCAATAGCAAGGATTAAAAACACACCAAGGATATGTCTACATCAGAGGTGGGCAAATACCAGCTCATGAGCCGGATCCAGTTTGCCAGGCTTAGCTCCTGGCAGGCTCTCACCACTATATTTACCTGCAGGTGCCGTCGATCGCAGCTCTCTTTGGCTGTGGATCACTGTTCCCGGTCAATGGGCGCTATGGGAAGTGATGTCCCAGTCCACACCGCTTCCCACCGCTCCC